TGTGGCGATTGGGGATGAGTATCGATTCAAATTTCAAGAATTTATTTGATTCTGAGGATTTAAAATCAATTCTTTTCTATTCGTTCAGATCTCAGTTTGGCTGCAGGTATAAAACAAAATTATCCGTTACCCGATTTATATAAGTGGAGTATTATATTTACAAGCAACAGCAAATGAATAAAGCAATAGTAGTTAGTGGCAGCTGTAAGACAGTGAAAAATGTTTTTTTCTACTGCTCTTGGGTTAAAAGAATAGATCTTTGGGAATTAATATTAGAATTGATCAAGAATTAGAAAACAGCCCTGGTGATGTTTTGGTTTCCACCTTTTAGTAGCACTTAAGAGTCTTTTTTACTGACTTTAAAAAAAGATAATGAATAAAAGATTCATCTGTTGAAGCTGAAAATGATCTGATTTGCTCACGGTTGAATTTCTATGCGCCTCCAAAAAGTCTATATCTCCTCCCTTTTTGTTTTTCTTTTTTTTTTTTTACAGTGTCCTGTCTGGCAATGTGGCAACACGAATAATTGTCTGGATACCAAAAAGAGCCCGACAGATTTTACTTTCACAAGTGGAGCAGGTTCGCCATAGTGTTCCACTTGATTTATGTATATATCTCCTCTCTAAGTAGCTGTAAGCTTTAAATCTTAACAAAAAATAACAAATTTCTTTATGCAAACTGAAGAAAATCAGACAGTGAAAACCCAAAAAACAAAATGTGAGCTATCCTTTCAGCCCATAGCTTATGACCAGCCCATATAAGTAACCACCAGGATCTGCTGGAGCATGGGATTGGTGCTAGACGCGGGTCACCATGAGTGACATCATTAAAATGTCCTGCTGTCGTGGGCGAAGATGGCCCTAAGGGAAAGCCCCACAGGCTCTCCACCACTACCACCCATCCAGGAGCGCCGTGTGTGTGTGTGGTCTGAACAGAGGAGGCCTGACACAGCATGTGCCCTCTGCTGAATTTATGAGGATGGGCAGTGGACCCCGACACCAGCCTGCGCACTGATCTTTCACCTGCACCCTGACTCCATAGATGCAGACACACAGATCCAGGGACAGACACTTATTCATCATACATGAAGAGAGCGACAATCAGTCGTAAATCCCAGCCATAAAAAAAACAAAAGTAGACATGTGAAAAGCACAGATGGGCCTCAGACTTCCCTAAAAGGAGACTAATTTTACAATCTGTGTAACCTTCATCTTCGTCCCTTTTATCTGCTGAACGCACGACGCAACGAAAGACGGCGAGACGATGCGAAGAAGAAGATTCCCCTCCCAGTTTTAATCTCAGCTCAGACATCAAACAAAGATTTCCATCACCTCCACCCCCACTTCTCCTCCTCTCACTGTGAAGCAGCATCGGTGTTTAGCAGCAGTGATGGGGAATCATCTAATAAGTTCCAACGCTGAGCAAATGATGGGGCTCCATGTTGCATTTGCTTTAAGCTGCTAAAAAGCAGCAGAATAAAAAAATATTATTGGATTTTTTCTTCTCCAGGCTTCATGGAGAGTCACCTGTTACCTGAGCTCATAATCTGCATCAATATTTTATTAGATTACCTCTTTTTTGGGGGGTCTGTAATATTTTGGATGAAAGCAGTTTGTTTTCTGGACCTTATTTCCTACAATAACAATTATTTATAAAACATCAAGCTGTTTGCAGCGTTGGGAGTTTTAAAAAGGCTGCTTTAGAGAATTACCCCATGTTTATATGTTTATAGGCGGGATTAAGAAAGATATCACATTTCATTGTGTTACCTGCTCCATAATTAGGACACTTTCTCTGTAACAAATGTCAACAAGTGAGTCAGGAAAGCCCCATTTTCCCCTCTATTATTTAAACAGGGTTATATCCAGATTACAGGTGGATTTAATCCCCTGCGGCCCAAGATGTCCTAATTCCTGTGGTCAATCTGAAATAGCAGGTGATCAATGGAAGACAGCTCCTCATGTCAGATACAGCACAGGGAATCTGCACAATGTAAAATGAGTAAAAATGTCTTAAATTAATGTATTTAACCTTAATTTGAGCAGGTATTCCAATGGAATGAGTATTTTTTTCTCTTAAATTAAGATTATTAGATAATATGCACTTGAAATAAGACAATCAAATTGGCTTTTTTCGTATTTTAAAGGTAGATTAATTAATTAATTCAAGAAAAATGTTACTTATTTTAAGAAAAAATGACTTATTGAGATTTAAATGTTTTGCAGAGTGGGTTTTTATTATTTCTCTTGAGGTGAATAAAAGTCTATAAATCTAAATTAACTTCTAATAGATGTGCGTGGATTTTATTTGTTATTTTTCCATTATTTTAAATGTGAAATCCTAATAAAATACCTTCGGTTGCATAGTTGTGATCGCGAAGGAAGCTGTTGTTAATTTTCCGGGTGTCACTCTCCTCCTCCATTGATGAATCGGCTGGTTCCGGATGCTGGTATCGGCAGAGCTGCTCCCATCCTGCCCGGTACCGTCAGCATGCGGGCCGAGGGACCAGCGGGGGGCCTGTCATGGTGGCTCCGGACCCCCGGTGGATCAAACCTGTGATGATGGATGGGGCGGCTGCTTCTGTCCACGCCTTGATCTACAATCCACAGCGATGCCAATTAAAGGTTGGATTAATTTCACTGCGCAGTTGATCCAAATATCCGAGAAAAAAAAACTGGATCCTCTGCAGGAAAAATGAAATGTTGCGTCTTCCTGAAGGTTGAACCCGCAGCAGCAGCTCCGTAAATCTCTTCTAAAGGATTTGAGTTTAGAATAAGACCCCCCCTCCTGCTCCTCCGCCTCCTCCTGCTCCTCCTCCTCCTGTTGGATGGTGCGTCAACAGCGCGCTCCGGTACCTGGCTCCCCGGCTGTCAGTGCGTCCTGCTCCTCATTCATTCATTCATCGGAGGCTCCAGCTGACTCACTGTGGCGTTTAGAGCAGAGATGGATCCTTCAGCAGAGGAGGGGCCCCTCCCTGCTGCATGACTTTAAAACTCCTCCACCATGGCTGCCTGATGACCGACATTCAGCTTTAGCTCTAAAAATGACGCAGGAAAAAACGCATCGGCATCCTCCCATCCTGCTGCTGTTACTGCAGAGGAATCCTTTCATGAAAGCAGACCGAGGACCCCACTCTGCAGCTGCAGCATGGGCGGGTCTAGATGGGGGCTAAAAGGGGCCAGTGCCCCTGTTAAATTGGTCCTGGACCTTTTTATTGCCTCTGTACCCAAGACA